GGATTTATATTAATCAGAATGATTGCTATAGCAGTCCCCTCATCTTTAGGGTTGAGCATAATTGAGATTAATTTCTGGGACATGATGGAATGTGCAGAATCCTGGCCAGGTGGTTCTCCTGGGTGGCCCACCTCAGGGCTGACCCCGGGAGCCAGACTCCTGTCTGGTCACCTCGATTTTCCCAAGGCCGTGGTTTCCATTTAGTCGGCCAAGGAGAAAAATGAACATTGTAGAGGATTATTTAAGAGGTCCTGGTGCAGGACTGGTGGCCCGATATCCATGGAGGCCAGACTAAGGGAAAAGGCGGTCTCCCCCAGTGGGCAGTGAGGGATACTCCGCTGAGAATATACACACGGACCTGCTGTTTGCTGCCCGGTCAGTCCTACTGCCACAGCCCAACAGCCGCCCTTCCGCTGCCTTCTTAAGCAAAGAGAATATCCAGGCATAATAGCCAGCTCCCTGGAAGCCACCGTCAGGAAGTGGGGGACTCCTTCCAATGGGGCCATAGCCAGGGGTGAAATCTCTGAAACCTCAGGAAATTACCCTGGGGAACAGGCGTGGAATGCCTCTGTGAGGCGTGGAGTGATGCACAGCCCCAAGAGCCTCGTCACCACGCCCCCGCCTTCCAGCCTGGATAAGCCCAGCTGTGGCAGGAAGCAGCGCCGGGCACCGTGGCTCCTGGCTGCAGGGTCATGGGGTCCCTTTTGCATGCCCTGCCAGGCTCCCGAAATCCTCTGCCTCCTGTGAGCCACCCCAGCCCCCACTATGCGCTTCTTGTTCTTTGTGCAACTTCTACAGACCAGCCCAGGAGAAGAGTCTCTCTGAGGGGGCCCCTGGCTGGCCAGGGTTTCATCCTGGCTCCACTCACAGAGCCTTGACTGGCTGCAGTTCAGCATGAGCTCCACATGGGGTGCAGGGTGCGAGCACCCAGCCAAGTGCAGGGACCTCCATGAGCACTGAGACTGAAAAGTGCTCCAACACAGCTGCAGGGGTGAGCCGGGTGAGCACCTTAGTGAGCCCTGTAAGGGTGGGGAGCCCTGGCCTTGCAGTAGCACTGTAGTGCTGTCCTTCTGTTGTTCATCGATTTGCTCAAGGGGGCACCAGTAATGTCTCACAACAAACCGTGAGACTCTTTGTTACTGTTTTTGGCATATTGAATAGTCACGGGTAGCTTTCCAGGCTCTGCCGTGAAGGCAAAAAGAGGGAGGAGAGGGGAGGGGAGGGGAATAAAAGCACAAAAAGAGCCTCTTGATAGCCCGGCTCCAGCAGTAGGCAGTGCTGGAGGCTCAGGTGGGGCTGGAATGTTTCTTTTTTGCTGTTTTGTTTTGGGGCCACACCTGGAGGTGTTCAGAGATTCTTTCTTTCTTTCTTTCTTTCTTTCTTTCTTTCTTTCTTTCTTTCTCTCTCTCTCTCTCTCTCTCTTTCTCTCTCTTTCTTTCTTTCTTTCTTTCTTTCTTTCTAGTGGGGTTCACACCCAGTATTACTCAGGGGTTAGTCCTGACTCTGCACTCAGGAATCACTCCTGGGGGTGCTTGGAAGACCAGATGGGATGCTGGGGATTGAACCGGGGCTGGCAGCATGTAAGGCAAATGCCCTACCCGCAATACTGGCCCCAGGGAGTATTTCTGGCTCTGTCTTAGGCATCACTCTTGGCAGGGTTTGGGGGAAATATATGGGATGCTGGATATTGAACCCAGATCACCCTGTGCAAGGCACGCATCCTATCTGCTGTGCTGTCTCCCCGGCCCCAGAGCAAGGGAGCTCTGTAACAGTGCTCAGGGCTCTGTAGTGGGGGGAGGGGCAGGATGGGGACACTGGCTGCCTTGTCTCATTAGCTGCTCAACATGGCTTCCCAGAATAGCAGTATCGACACACCCGTATTTCAGTGTTAATACTAAAGTCTTTTTCAGACAAGAAATAGGATTGTGTGTTCCTGTGCTCGGGGACCCCGAGGAATCGGGAGGTCTGGGCTTGGTCCCCAGGGCTGGGGAATTGTGACCCGCCCTTGTCTGCCTGCACCCTCTCTTGTTGGTTTCTGTCCCTGGGTCCCTTCCCCTCCTGTCTGAAAGGCCTTATTGTCCTCCTTCCATTGCTGCAAGGATGGTCCTGCGGGCTGGGAGTTGGCAGCTCTGGGTGCCCCCCCCCCACACACCTGCCAGGAAAGAGCGTGCAGGAGTGTTCAGGAGGCTCCATGTGGGAAGGGGTGTAGGGTGGTTATGGGGTCATCTCAGTGGAGCAAGGACAGAAGGAGATGGAGACAGATGGAGCCCGGGGGCAGGGAGGGGACCTTGGCCAGTGGCAGGCGCAGCCTGACCAGAGACCTTGCTGCAGGCGTCTGTCTTCCTCCAACCTGGCTAAGCAATAGGAGACCCTTGGAGGAAACCAGGGGTAAAGGAGGGAAAGTCACGTGAGGTTGATATGGCCTTCAGAGAGAGGGGGTTAGAAAGCAGGTAGAGGGGGTGACCCAGTGTGCCCACCAGCTGCTGAGAAAGCCAGCACACAGCTGCACACAGCCTCCTCGCTCCAGAGAACTTCTCGCCTCCAGCCCTCTGCTCTGGCTGTCTTGACCTCTTCCAAGGAGCCTTGAATGAAACAAAATAGCTCTTGTGAGTCTGTGTAGCAAAGCGAAGCAGAACAGGACTTTCTGTGCCTTCTGGCATTTGAGATGGGTCACGGCTTCCATGTAGAACCAAAGGCTTCTATAGCCAGTTGTTTCTGGGCAAAGAAGCAGGGCTGGCATTGCCTTTGGAGGAGCTGGTTCATACAACCCCCAGCGATGTTTGATCTTCTGTTGATTTGAGATGCAAATCCAGAATTTTCAAATAGTGGGTCTCCTTTTATGTCCCTAACTCTTGTTTGTTTAGGGGTCACACCTGGCCTTGCTCAGGGGCTACTCCTGGCTCTGTGCTCAGGAATTACTCCTGGCAAGCTCGGGGAAGCATGTGGGATGCTGGGGATCGAACCTGAGTCAGTTGCATGCAGGGCAAGCACCTTACCCACTACATGTCTCTCCAGCCCCTGCTCATAACTTTTGTTTATTTGGGGGCCACATCTGGGATATTTATGGTATTTATGGGGAACTATTCCAGACTCAGTTCTCAGGGATTATTGTCCACAATGCTCAGGGACTGATCATATGGTACCAGGGATCAAACCAAAAATCCAATTCGGTCCTCCCACAGGCAAAACTTAACCTCTGGCCCTTGGAACTCTCCTCCAGTCCCTGCACAGAACTTTTAAAAATATTAATAAATTTGCTCTTGCTGGACACTTTGAAGATTTACGGTAAATGTAAAGACTTTGGAGCCAGAGACTGTATCTCTACTGTGGCTGTACCATCCTCCTCTGATGGGGATGAGGAGGCAAATGGTTTGCTCAGAGTCTAGGGCTGAAGGCAGCCCCCCTAGGAACCCAATCCAGTGTCTTCCAGGGAACTTCGTGGACAGGACCACCTTGTTTCACAGCTGTAACACCAGTTAAGAACTGCCCTCCTGCAAAGAGGATTAGTCCACAGTTGGAAGCCTGCCTCAAGTGCTGAGGGAGAAGGCAGTTGGGATGGAGAAGGGACCACTATGGCAGTGATAGTTGGGAATGATTACTCTGGATAGGAACTGCATGCTGAAAGTAAAGAAAGGAACAAACATAATATCCTCTCAGTATCTGTATTGCAGACCATAGTGCCCAGAGAGAGAGAGAGAGAGAGAGAGAGAGAGAGACAGAGACAGAGACAGAGACAGAGACAGAGAGACAAAGAAGAAGGGAGGGAGGGAGGGGGAGAGAAGGAAAGTGCCTGCCATGGGGGGGATGGGGGGGAGGGAACTGGGGGTCCTTGGTGGTGATAAATATGCATTGGTGAAGGGAGGGGTGTTGGATCATTATATGACTGAAACCTGATCATGAACAGCTTTGCAACTGTATCTCATGGTGACTCAATTAAAAAAATAAAAATTAAAAAAAAAAAGAAGAAATACTGCCCTCTTCCAGGACTCTCTCCAGAATGTCCTTTCCTTGCTCTTCCTGTTCTGGGAACAGGAGAAAGAAGAGGGAGTAGGAGACAGTTCCCAGGGTTAGTGCCCGTGCCCCACATGCACAGGGCCCCGAGTTGAACCCTCAGAACTTCATGACTCCCCAAGGACTAACAGCACTGGGGAGATCCTCCCTTGCAAACAATAAGGAAGCACCTCCCTTTTCTGAGCTGGACTATTCCCACTGGACACCTCGTCTGTCAGCCACTGTGAATAAAGGAGAGTCCCTGCTCTTACCCTCTACCCTAAGCATTGGCAGTGTCAGCCTCTGAATGGGTTCAAGTCCCTCAAGGTCTTCAAAATGTGCCTCTCTGCCCTCACTTTGTGCATTTTCCTTTAGATCTAGTCCACATGAATAGACCATCTCAGACAGACTCTGCATCTATACCATCCACTGCTCACAGTACTGTTGCTTGGTTTCTGCTTGGTGGGGGTGGGGGTCCGGGGACACACCCAACATAATATTTTAAGTGGTTCCCATGATGACTATGGTAGCTACTTTTGATCTCAAAGATGTTTCAGATCTAGAGGTTGAAACAAAGGTTTCAGAAATCACCTGCCAATGTTCACATTTTTCAAAAAAAAAATTATGTAAACGAATGAAACTGCAATTAAAAGTAAATAATCTGTCTCTGGAGGGAGCTGGCTTTTCTCTAATTACAGGAGGGTGAGTGGGAAGCCTGCAAACTCGTCAGACCAGCGGGCTTGTTTGGAAGAACCTTGGGAAAGAGTCAGAAATAGCAGCGCGCGCTGCTGTCACCTTTTTAATCCCCAAAATGCAGTTTTTTTTTTAAATACTTCTTTGGATGGTAGATAGTTTTCATTTCTTCTGGTTTCCAAAATAAAACCCACAAAGTTACATTCAGACCTTAACAGCTGCCACAAACCCTCTTGGGGTTCTCAGTAAATGAGATTTCTAGTGTGAAATCATTAATTGTGAACTGTATTATTATCAATTTTTTTTTTATCTCTCAGAACAAGGGAAAGGCAACCTGCATGTCACATCATTAGAAGATGCAGAATGTCGCAGAACCAAGGAACGCCTTTCTAATGGGAACACGCGTGCTCCTGGGCCCAGGCCTTCCCGCAACATCCCACGGAGACACACACTAGGGGGCCCCCGAAGTTCCAAAGAAATCCTGGGAATGCAAACATCTGAGATGGATCGGAAAAGGGAAGCGTTCCTGGAACACCTAAAGCAGAAGTACCCCCACCATGCCACTGCCATCATGGGCCACCAGGAGAGACTGAGAGACCAGGTAGGAGCGCGTGTTCGATCATCCTGCGGGGCTTATGCTTGAGTGATCTCAAGCCAGAGCCAGATCAGTGTGCAGTGTTGCTGGAGGCGCTTTGCCTGTACTGTTGTACCAGATCTGCCTTGGGGTCAGAGAGAAGAGCCCCAACGAGTCCCCAGGGCCAACCTAAGTGTATCTAAAACACACACAAGGGGCAGGAGAGCTAGTATAGTGGGTCAGGTACTTTCCTTGAACACAGCTGACCTATGTTCCACTTTGGAGTGCGGATGTTTCCCTAAGTGATACCAGGAGTGATCTCCGAGCACAGAGCCAGGAGTCAGCCCTGGGTGTGACTAAATAAAACTCCAGCAAAATAGTAATAATAATAATAATAATAATAATCATGTGCAGGCAATAGAGGCCAAATGTGGCTCAGTGGTAAAGGGCACGTTTTGCAGGCTAGAAACCTGGGTTCAATTCCTGATGCTGAAAAAAATATACTTGTAGTGTGCCTGTAAGGAGGGTTCTTACTGGACTGGATAAAGCTTGACACCCACTTCTGTGCTCCCTGGCATAGTGAGATCCTAGCACAGTGAATAAATGAATGGATGAAGCCTAATCACAACTTCATGGTGAAATAATGTACAGAGGTATAAAGGGATGCTAAAAAAAAGCAGAAACTAGACTTTGTTTCTCCCACTCTTCTTCTTCTTCTTCTTTTTTTTTAAATCATCAATGTTTTTCTATTTGCATGCTTGACGTTCTGCTCTCGAGTCACCTATTTACTCAGTTTATCTTGATAACCTCGCAACTGTCACCCAATGGAGGTTGAGAAAGGCTTCAGTGTCTGGGCTGTTTCCAACGACGGTTTAGCATGTTTGTGGCTCACCAGAAATGGGACACCTTTGCTGCTGATCTTGCACTCGAGTTATCAGATTGATCTTTGAGGATGAAGGACATGGGGAAGGAAGCCCAGAGAGCATTTAACTAAACCCACAGTTGGGGCTGGCCGTGATTGAGCAGCAGCCTGATTAGTTATCGAAACGATGTCTAAGTAAGTCAGCTTCTGAACATCCATAGAGATGGATATCAGCATTGACCAGTATTATCTAAATCTAGACCTTTCTCTCAATCTCACTTTCTCCCTGAGGTTCTACCTTGTCTTCTACGCAATCTTGATCAGCATGCCTAGAATGTGAGCTGCACTGTGTGCCAGTTTAGTCTCTTTACCAAAAGGCACAACCCAGAAGCAGAGAAAAGAAGCAGGAATTCTGGGTGATGCAGACAGGAGAGGATTTCTTCTTCGGAGAAAGGATCTTTGTTTCAAGTATATGTAGAAAATCGATTTTGAAAGTATTTTAAATGTGGTTCTTTTCTTTTTCTCCCCCAGTTTTATCTAGACCTGATTGGCATAGAGCCCAAACATTCGTACTCCCTGATGATTGTGGTGTACAGCTGTTAGGGCATTTGTCTTGCATGTGGCTGATCCAGGTTCAATCCCCATATCCCATATGGTCCTCCGAGCACTGCCAAGAGTAATTCCTGAGTGCAGCCAGGAGTAGCCCCTGAGCATCGTATGGGTGTGACCCAAAAAGCAAAACACAAACAAACAAACAAACAAACAAAAACAAAAAAACAAGTTGCTTTGGGGGGGTCAGGAGGGACCAGAGAAGATAGTGCAAAGGGCCAGTGCGCAGGATTTATATATGGGACCTCTCAGTGTCTTCTCCAGCATTGTCTAGTCCCTCCAGTACTGTTGTGTGTGACCTCCAAGTACCAAGCTAGGAGTTGCCTCCATACACAATCAGGCGTGGCTACCCCCCCAAATAACCCCAAAAATTATGATGGGAGGGCTACTCCAAGCAGTGCTGGGAGATGGCATGCTGTGCAGGAGGCTTGCCAAGTCTTCTGCCATTTGGGCCACATGCCTAGCCTGGCGCCGTATTTTCTCCAAAGCGGTTCAGATGGAGCAAGCTCAGACTCAGAGTACTGCAGCCCCATGGTTTGCTGGGGAAAGGTTGTCATCTTAATTCTGATAAGCTGGGCTGGAGCGATAGCACAGCGGGTAGGATGTTTGCTTTGCATGCTGCCGACCTGGGTTCGATTCCCAGCATCCCATAAGGTCCCCTGAGCACCGCTAGGAGTAATTCCTGAGCACATGAGCCAGGACTAACCCCTGTGCATAGCCGAGTGTGACCTCCCACCAAAAAAACCCCCCAAAAAACAAACAAAAAATAACAGAAATGAATAAATAAATAAAATTAAAAAAATTGAATTCTGATAAGCCTGGGCTGGGCATGCTTGTGTGTTTCACTGTCCCGTAAATGGGAGTCATTGGCTTATGGTTCACCCATGAGAAGAAAGGGAAGCTGTGAGGGGATGTGTGTAGGAACTGGGGTGGAGGTGGGGTAAAGGGGAGGAAAACCTCCACTGTGTGCTGAGGAAGAATGCTAACTTCCAAGTGGAGATCTGGAGACCACTAGCAAGATGGTATTGGCTGTCGCTTCAGGCACTATCAGGAGTTGTTACTGGTTTCTTTTGTGCTATGTCTGTGACGTGATGGTGAGGGAGGATGAAACCTTGGAATGAAATCTTGGGACCATCTCAGTGAAATTGCAAGGTTGCAGAAGGTGTGCAGGTCAGAAGAAAGGAATGAATGAGCCGAGTTTGGATTCTGGACTTGGAATGAATGAATGAGCCCCATCTGTCTCTGCCCAGATGCAGCTGGGTCATGGCTGCTTGGTGGCCCCTTGCTTGGGAATTGGGACCTGAATCATCTGTGTTTGCTGCTTGCATCCATGTTCACATGCCGAGTACCCCACACCTCTGCTCCCCACTGTGTGTCATCGGATGACAATTCGGGGGGGATGGGTTGTGACATTTCAGCTCTGCTGCTCCCCCTTCTTTTGCTCTGGGTCCCCGTTTCCTCTTTGCTCTCCTCTTCTCCCCAGTACCCTTTGTGCCTCCCTGACCCTCCCGACTCTGCATTCCTCAGGGCTTCCTTTGCTGGAAGATCACGTGAGCAGCCAGCAGGAGGAATTTAAATAAACGAGTCTGACGCACTTCTCCAGAGATTGAGTTTCTAAAAACCACACGCCCTTCTGTGGCGGCTTTCCTGGCTGCCTCGCAGAGAAGGGCACGTGTGGGTGAGATGGAAACTGAGACCTGGGCAAAGCTGGATTCAGCACCTTACTTGAAAGATCCTGGACCTTGGGGCCTCAAGTACGGCAAATGAAGACATGCTGTAGGTTTCCTAACGTGAATCCAAGCCCTGGAGGGATTCTGGTGAAAACTATAATGAGGTTCTGGGGTTATCACTCAGCGAGAGAAACATGCTTCACCTCGGTGAGGCCTGGAGTTGCACCCCGCCTACACTACAAAGATGAAAGCAAAGATTTAATTCAAGTCTTTGGAAAATAAGACAAGAATTAACTTTAGTGTGAACTCCTGGAAAGGATTTTAAATAAATGTCTAATGAGGCTTTATTTGGTCAATTTTAGTATCACCTGTTTTCACATGACTCGTGAAAAACTTCGAGAGCACAACTTTATTTATTTTTTTTAATTTTGGGGGCCACGCCTGGCCATGCTCAGAGTTGCTCCTGACTCTGAGCACAGGAATTATTCTTGGCCGCGCTTGGGGAACCAGTGGGAGGCTGGGCATCGAACCAGGATCAGACGTGTGCAAAGTAAGTACGCTACCCACTGTACTATCTCTCTGGCCCCTCCTTCCTTTTTTTTTTCATTTTCGTCACCATGTATCGCTAAGTTTTAATGAATGGATTTCAGGTATACAGTGTTCTAATACCACTCCCTTCACCAGTGTTCACTTCCCTCCACCTGTGTCCTCAGTTTCCCTCCTATTTGCCAGACTGCCTCTGTGACAGGCAGTTCATATTTGGCACTGTGGTTTCCAGTACTGAGGGTTTTATGGAGAAAACTTCACCACCTTTCAGCACCCCCCTGCCCCCTCCCCCATCCCCTGCACACAGTGTTGTAATATTCTTGACCCTGTCTGTCTGAATTACTGACATTTAGAGAGACTTTGTTAACTCCCATCTCCTATCTTTACAACACACAGCTGCCCTGCCTCGCCTGCAGAGTAGTCCCTGGAGCCTTTTTTAGGGGGAGAGTTTTTTCATCTTTACGCTCCAGCTCCCTGGCTACCCAGCCTATATAACCTATACAGCCTCACTGTATAGGAGCAGGCGCTTGGGACATCACCTTTCTTTTGTCCGTGTTCAGGGGTCACTCCGGGCAGGACTCAGGAGATCATATGTGGTGCCTGCGGTTGAGATGGACTTGGCCACATGCAAGGCATGGTTCTCGAAACCACCAGGACTTTCCCTTCCTCAGTACCTGTTCTCTCTTTTGTCAAAGGACGGGATCTCTCGCTTAGTGGCCTGAGAAAGATGATGTTGTCACCTCATCCTGTTCCCGTGACTCTTCCTATGACAGTGCATTTGTTTCTGGTGTTCACACGTCAGCTTCCGAGCTCTTATTCTAAAATTAATATAGGGGGCTGGAGAGACAGTACAGCAGGGAATGCACTTGTTTTACGCACAGCTGACCTGCCAGCTTTGATCCCCGGCCCCCCATATGGGTCCTCTGAGTCCTACCAGGAGTGATACCCAAATGCAGAGGTAGGAGTAAACCCTGAGCAGGAATAAACCCTGGACGTGGTCAATAAAATAAATATTTAAAACTTTTCATCTAGTTTTTGACTACCTGAAGAAGTTTATTTTCATTGAGATCACTTTCATGTATATAACTGTATGTGTTTTAGAGACATAATTTCATGGCTTTTCAAAGTCTGAGTTTCCACACCTACCTCCAAAGTCCCTCTGCCCCAGTCCACTAGCCCCCTCCCAGCTTTGCCGCCCAGGCCCCTCCCTTCCAGAAACCGCATTCCAAGGTCTGCGGCCCGAGCCCAGGGGCTGTTTTCGTTGGTTTTGTCTGTTCCTGGCCCTTTGTGGCTGTCTGTCCCACACAGGAGTGACATCACTCCCTATTTGTTTTTCTTGT